GTTTGCATCATTTCGATGTTTGTAATTTTTCGGAAAGGGAAATTTCAGTAAATCGTGTAAAAACATTATTTGAACTTCTTAACCTAGGTTATTTAAACAAAGATGAACGACTTAGCATTGAGTCTATTTGCGCTAAGTACGCGGACGTGTTTCATCTCCCAGGTGATAAACTGTCAGTCACTAATTTAATGGAGCATAAAATTACTTTAAAGGATAATGCGACTCCTGTTTATATAAAACCCTACAGAATACCACACTCTTTAAAACCAGAGTTACGTAAACAAATACAGGATATGTTAGACAACGATATTATTGAGGAATCCACCTCGGAGTGGTCTAGTCCCGTCTTGCTTGTTCCGAAAAAGACCGACAAAAATAATGAAAAGAAGTATAGGTTTGTCGTTGACTATAGGCAATTAAATAATAGAATTCAAGATGATAAATTTCCACTTCCCAATATTACAGATATTTTAGATTCCTTATCACATTCTATGTATTTTTCAAAATTAGATTTGTCCCAAAGTTATTATCAATTAAATTTAAATGAAAATTCAAGAAAATACACTGCTTTCCATTTAGATAGAATGTACCAATTATCCCTTCATCCCGATTCACGTAAGTGCACCGCTTTCACAGCTGATAAAATATACCAAATGAAGCGTTGTCCGATGGGACTTAAAACTAGCCCTAGCGTATTTTCTCGATTGATGACTATAGCTATGTCTGGATTGAATTATAATCAATGTTTTATTTATTTAGACGATTGTATCGTTATAGGAAATTGTATAGAAAATCATAATAAAAACCTAATTTCTGTGTTAGAACGCTTAAGAAAAGTTAATTTAAAACTAAACCCTTTAAAATGTGAATTTTTACGAACAGAGATAGTATACTTAGGACATAAAATAACAAGTAAAGGCATATTTCCTGATCCAAGCAAAATAACAACCTTGCAAAGTTATCCGACACCGACTAACGTTGACGAGGTCCGAAGATTCGTGGCCTTCGCTAACTATTATAGACGATTTATTTTACATTTCGCTGAAATTGCACATCCACTAAATAGACTTTGTAAAAAGAATGTTGCATTTAATTGGACAGCTGATTGTGACGAAGCATTCAAAAAATTAAAATCTGCTTTAATAAAACCCCCAGTTTTGGATTATCCCGATTTTTCTGAAAATAATATTTTTAAATTGCAGACTGATGCCTCAAGAACAGGTTTAGGTGCAATACTATCCAATGGGAATGATAGAGTTATTGCATACGCAAGTAGAAGTTTAAAGCCCGCTGAGACGCGATATCCGATTATAGACTTGGAGCTATTAGCCATAGTTTGGGCAGTGAGGCATTTTCGACCTTATTTATATGGTAGGAAATTCCAAATTCTAACCGATCACAAGCCTCTTATTTATTTATTTTCTATGACAGATCCTTCCAGTAGGCAAACTAAATTTCGTTTATATTTAGAGGAATATGATTTTGAGATAGGCTATGTCCCAGGACGACACAACGCGGCTGCAGACGCATTGAGTCGCATCCCGGTGACATCGGATGATTTAAAAAATATGCGTGAACACTTAGTATCAGTACTTACTAGAGCACAAACAAAAAAAAATAGTCGTAATAAAAACTGTGACTTAGAGAATTATAGTAATCCTGAAAATTTGCATAGTCATGGGACTGATCACCCCTTGGCCGTGGAAATTCTCAAGCCACCACCGGATATTATCGAATTATGTTTTAGTCACTCGGTCAAATATGACGGAAACGACGAAGTTTTTACGTCCTCAAGTGGAAATTGTGTATATGTACCAAAGCGGTCAATAATTTATCTAAATGCTCGATCGCTATCAGCTGTAGAAGCGTTAGCGAGAGATTTAGAGAGTTTTTGTAGTAAGTTAAATATCTTAGAATTGCTTATTATCAAAAATAAAATATATGAAGGACATATTAAGTTACTTGCAAGTACAATTAAAAAATTAAAGTTGAGTCGGCCGCGATTATTGATAACTAAAGATGTTAAGCGTATCAGAAATGAGGACGAAAAGATAGTTATATTAAATGACTTCCACTTGTTGCCCACCAGTGGGCATGCTGGGATAAATAGAATGCTAAACAATATTAAAAAATACTATTTTTGGCCAGGCATTACAAAGGATGTCGTTAATCATGTCAATAAATGTAAGCTTTGTCAAATAAATAAATACACCAATAGATACATTAAGGAACCTATGTCATTAACGACTACCCCTAATTCGTCTTTCGAAAGAATTAGTTTAGATATAATGGGACCATTACAAGTTGACGATTACAATCATAGGTACATACTAACTCTACAGTGCGACCTAACAAAGTTCGTTGAAGCGTATCCCTTGCAGCGCAAAGACGCCGAATCAGTAGCGAGAGCTTTTGTAAATAATTTTATCCTTAGATATGGAATCCCAAAAGAAATAATTACAGACCAGGGAACAGAATTTCTTAACGAAATTATGACCGAAATATGTAGCTTATTAGGTATTAAAAAATTACAGTCCACTGCATATCACCATGAAACTATGGGATCGTTAGAAAATACTCACAAACATCTCGGCACTTTTCTAAGAATACAATGTGAGAGTCACAAAAGCAATTGGAGTAGTTGGGTTCCGTACTGGTGTTTCTCATTCAACACCTCGGTACACACGCAAACAAAATATACTCCCTACGAGCTAGTGTTTGGAAAAAATTGTATTTTACCTAGTAACTTAAGTGACTCTGTAACTCCCTTATATAACTATGATGACTATCCTAAGGAACTTCGACATAGACTACAAAGAGCACTGTGTGATGCGCGAAAAAATTTATTAACTAATAAATTATGTAGAAAAACTACATTTGATAAAAATAGTTACCCGATAACATATAAAAAAGGAGATTTAATTTTGGTAAAAAATCAAATAAGAGATAAGTTAGATAGAGTGTATAACGGCCCTTATGAAGTAATAGAGGAATTGTCACCTAATGTAAAGATATTAAAAAATAATAGAGAGTACGTAGTACATAAGAATAATACGAAACTTTATAATGATAATATTTAGCTGAATGTATGTGGTTAAAAAAAAATGTAACACTTTTTTTTTTCTTTTTTGAGGAGAGGGGTGTAATGGAGATTTTTGGGGGGCGTGTGATAGTATGAAAATAATTTAATAAATATGTATTAATAATACAACGCAACATTGAATGACACGAAAGTAGGCCACGTGAAATGCTGATGTTTTGTAATAATATTGTGTGTTATATTTTATAAGTGTGTGTGTGTGTAACTACGTAGTGCACTAATATTATAAATAAGTATGTTTTGTACCATTAAGCCTTCTTCAATAAATGGACACCAACCTATCTACGTCTTTGTATTTATTATAACCTGCCGCCATCACCCAACATACCACACCTCAAATTGACATCACACAATGCAGCCTACAATGTATGTGGCAACCAGAGGTAAATACTTGCTAATTAACAAGAAATTTATATAATATACTATGTAATATAATTTTTAAAGTAAATGAACTTAAAGAGTTGATGTTGCTTTATTTTACACCTACCGCCGAAAAGTTTTACGTTTATCTATGGGCCTACGTTGTCTCACATATTGTGATCTGCAGATAGGTACATCCTCTAAGTTGTCCGATATTCTATTCTACTTACAAAATAAATATCATAGATTACAAAAGAAATCATTATGGCCCTTTTATTCAAATCACTTTCTTATTCAGATGAATGAAATTAGGATTTTTGAAAGTCTAATTTTCAATAATCAAGACCTACTAGCCTTTTTAGATGAGCATCACTATTACACTTTATATACAGATGGCAGTAAATCAAACTTATATGTTAGAAGCTCTGTTTATGACCCCCAGATCAAATTCTCGCAAAGCTTTGTTCTTGATAATGCATGTAGCATATTTACAGCAGAGGCGTATGCAGTCCTAGAGGCTCTTAAGCGAATTTTTACTGTAAATAACTATAATTATTTTCTCATTTTAACCGATTCTCTTAGTTTGATTAAAAGTTTAGAATGTCATAAAGTTCATTACAAGATTAATTATATTCTGTATAGTATTAGAGAGCTTGTACATAGGTTACTTCTGAAAGGAATTGAAGTTTCTTTTATGTGGATACCATCACACAAAGGTATCACTGGAAACGAAATAGCTGATAGGACTGCACATGATGGGATCAATTCTATGGACGTGAGTTCCTTAATATCTGTACCTTTTACTGATTATTATACTGAAATACGGAAGGATATTTATCAATTGTGGAATAAATTGTGGAAACAAGATCAACAAAATAAAGGCAAATGGTATGGAAGCATACAAGAGAAGATACCTTCTAAGCCATGGTATGCAACGCTGAAAATAGCCAGCCGTGACTTTATCACCACAATAAATCGCCTGCAATTTGGCCACCACAAAACACCAGCTCATTTGGGAAAACTGAAGATAATATCTGATAGTATGTGCCCGTATTGTAATACTGCTACCGGTGACATATATCATTTGATATTTGAATGCTGTCAATTTAGTATTCAACGGCTTTTATTAGCAAGCGAACTCTGTGAAATAAGAGAAAATGTAAATAATGTCTCCCGCCGCCTAGAAGACTACTTGAAAAATCCCAAGAATTTTCCTATACTATTCAAATATGTGAAAGCCACTATACTATAATAAACATTTAGATAAAGAATCAGGAATAGACGAAGACGTGGCTTAAAAAACCAGCATCCAAGCCATAAAATTAAAAAAAAAATGTTTTGGATTTAGAGAATCATGCCAGAGTCGACATAAACCACAGAGTAACTTATTATAACACAAACGTTGTATGAAAATTGACATTGGTTGCGCCAGGGGCGTAGGTATTGAACGTTGCCCTTCCTGTGCTATCAGTCTGTGATTGATTGTTGTTTTTGATTATTTTGTTGGTATTTCTGTTTCTGATTATTTTATTTCAGACCAAATTATTTACGTTTATTTAATCTGAGTTATTTTAACAAATATTTCTTTTCATCGGTTTTAATTTTTGTGTGAGTTTTAAAAATGAATTCCGCTGAAGCCAACTGTTCACCAAAGTTCAAAAATTTAAAAACTTCTGCTAGAAATTCCCCTAAAGAAATAAAGGAAAAGATAAGAAAGGTAAGTACCTACATCTGTATATTGTATTACAGGAACCTTTAGTAGCTTTATCCCTAATATTTTTTTACAAGCCGTTAAAAATACAAACCATTAAAAATAATGTTCTATTGATTTCTTCCAGTAATTAAAAGTATATTTTATAATATTCATACACTAGTATTTGAAATAACAATATTCTAATCAATATTGATTTATTACAAACGTAGTTCCTATTTATTTTTATAGTCATTACTAAAAAATGTGTTGCCCATATTACAATAAGTACTGGCGGTGACCTGCGGTTTCACTTGCTATGAATTCAGAAAAAAAGTTACAGTCAACATTAAAATAAAAACCATAATTATGAGGTTATTTAAATTACACTTGGTTTTAACCTATAGTCATTTCTTCTCTATTAGGCTAGGTTTAACTTTAGTCAACAGTAAACATAGTTCAGGTTTGACCAATTTCTTATTTGAAATACCTTTGCTGAACTATAGGGATTTATTCAATGAAGCTGAAACTAGCGGCGAAACCTGCTGAGAGCATTCCAGGAACACTTTATTCAATAAAAAAACTAGAAGGCATGCTCAAAGTTTATTGATTCTTCTCCTGAATCATTCTTATACATTTATTTATCAAAAAAAAAATTAAATCTCATAGAATCAACCTGTACAGAAATCGAGTTCGACTGATACCTATAACCGCTAGTTTCACCTCCATATTTATTCAACTCTTATTCTTAAACTAAATTGTAAAGAATCTATTACATTCTACATTATATATGGAATTTATGTACCTAGTCATTTAACCAATATATTGTCAAGAACAACAAATACTATGTTAGATAGACTAGAGAAAGATTCTACACATTCTCATGGCAAATCTATAGGCTAAAACTGTACTTCCTGGGCCCATGAATTGACACTTCCATTGAATTGACTATTTAATGAAGTCTTTGCAGTCTCCACACCAGCGCTCTGATGGTTTTTGAGAAAAATAAAATATTGAAAATTATAACTTGTTATTGTTATCTATTTTTTTTTACCTTTTTTTAATTATAATAATATATAACTAAATTATTGTTTCGTAAATCAACGTAGAATTAAAAAAAAACACATTCTCAATATTTCCTAAGTTATTTTCACAAAAAAAGTAACAACCAATTTTAAAAGGTGTTTTTGGGTGTTTATTGGAATTTTACCAGAGCACCGGATCTAAACACGGTGTTTTGGCCATCTATACCCGATAAAAAAGCCGTAAACAGTGCGAGTAAATATAGTTATGGAATTGACTTACAGATTTTCCTGAGCTTTTCCCAAAAGAAAGGCTATAGTTTTTTTTATGATTTTATTACAAATCTATAGTTTTAACATTTTTTTGTATAGGTACTTTTAATATAAGACGATATTATATTACTTGCCAAACATAGTTCTACGAACTAACGAAACGAAAATATACTTTGTTTGTGGTAAGCCGTATCTTTTCATACGTTAACTTATGTAACGTGTTAAAAACGTTACATGGATCTCCTTCGCTCGAAGAGCGAGATAGAAGACTTTCTCAGGTTGTCTCTCTCTGTTCATTTTTATCTCAAGTCCATTTTCTTTAATCTGTGCACTTTTGAATAATTATGTTGCTGCCTTAATCAAGCAGTATGCTGTATGGACGTTGTTCTCTTTGCCTATCCGGCAAGAGAAAACGAAAAAACTAACGTCACTTCACTTCACGTCGCAATTTTACAGGGAGCGAAATGTTTCGCTGCTAATCTTAATGAATTACGAAGTAATTCATACTAATCTTATTATTTTTTTAATGGTAAGTGTTTTTCCAAATTCAAAAAGTGTTTTAATTCATATATTTCAATGATTTACATGAGGATTGATTTTGTTTACAGATGTAATATTTTGCACCGTTTGCGCGGAATGGCGGCGACCTCATTCCAAGCTTAATTTGTTTGTAAAACGTTAAGAACCTTAGTGATTCCCTTAGTTTTACATTTTTGTTTGTCCCTTAGTTGTGAGCCATGTGCTAATCTGAGGAATGTTTGTTTTCAGCGAAAAGCGTTTTTTTTTTTACTTGGATTTTTTATTTGGATCTCTTATTCCAATTACAACATTTCCCATGAGGTGGAAGTGACGTGATGTAACAACGGCCATCCCTTTTCCCTTAAACATTTGCAACACCAGACATACTTAACTCCAAAGATGCAACGAGGTCGGTAATTTTCTAAATTTATAATTGTGTATCGGCCCCCACATTAAAGGTAACATTTTCACTTACATCTTAGTCTTAGTTTCAAAATTTAGCAGTAACCCTTTTGGACCAGTAATTCTGTAGCATATTTAAATAAATTGACAACCCAAAATGAATATGGATTTGCATTAAGCTCCCCTTGCGATTAATTGTTCATTGCTCTCCCGGCTAACAATAAGGTACAGTACAGGCGCCCGAATATTCTTTTTTAATTGAGTTCGGCCTGTCCATTCAAAAATCTTTTATTTTTTCTATTACAATTGACGCCAGCGCACAGGGACTTGGTTTATGCAATCCATTTCATTTTGTACCTATAATAGTAGTCTTGTCTGGTTGTTTGTAATCTTTATTATTACATTTGTGATATAATATAACTTTTGTACTTGAATTTTGATATATAAACATAGATTTTGTTTGTAATATTATTACAATTTAACTTAATGTTTTGGATGGTTCGTGTTAATATTAACTTTTCATTTAACTACTTGTTTTGAACTTTATTTCATATTTGAAATGTTCTATATACGTCTGTAGTGATGCATCACATAATATTAACTACTTTTGTATGTTAATTTAGTATTTTGCATATGCAAATTTCTTAGAATTTACTCACAAAACAATTATTTGGTTTATACCAATTGATGCATATTGCATATAACTTAAACTTTCATTACCTTGTAAACTATGACCATTGTGTTATTGTTTTGTTATTTACATTTGAATATGCAAATTTACAAAGCTTTTTGCTATATATATATATAAAAAATTAGGACTTTTTGTTCGAACGTTTTGATAATTTTTAAAATATTTTGTGAACATTATTTGAAATTTATACAAGTTTCTTAATGATAAATATAACTGTTCCACAACTTGTTTTGAGCTAGTATATACATTGTTTAAATAAAACATAAACAATAAAATTTAACTTTTATAAAGAATAATAACATAAACTTAAAATAATTTAACCTTCTTTGAAAAAATAAAACTAAATATTTTGAAATACTTTCATAACTTAATGAAGCATTGTTTATATAATAATAATAATTAACTTAGTCATAATAATATTATGAAATAACTTTTGATGTTGTTGTAACTTAGATATTTTGACATTTTGTCACAAACTTATTTCAGTTAAAGTTAATATAAGTTTTTATATTAATAATTTTTAAATAATTTAATTTAGTTACATAACTTAAGATTTAAATATCTTTCACCAATCGTAAACTTGCTGCATCTTGCTTTATCTTTTAAAAGATTTAACTTTACATTTACTTTGCGTTAACTGCGTTTATAATTTCACTGCTATTTTGGCATTTTGCAAAAATGGAAGGTGACAAACTTGCATTATCTGCTGCCTTGCCGCCTAAGGAACAACCTGTTTCTGTTGTAACCGACACTAGTGATTCAGCTTATACACCTGCTACACAGCACATTGCACATGAATTAATTAATTTAACAATTGATCAACCCACTTTGGATGGTCATAATTTTCATTCATCACGATTGCTCGATTCACAACCTGCTTTACAACCGACGACCACACATGCTTCACATGTTAGCACTAATTTGTTACAAAATAATACTTCACTTTTGGATAACTTTAAAAAACCTACATATTACAAACGTCCTGATCTTTAGAAGAGTAAGATAATTTTTGACGGTAAGTCTTGTGTAAGAGAATTTATTACTAGTGTTGAAGAGTATATGGTTTCCAGAGATATCGATGAATATTTTGTTGTTACTTCCTTTTCAGATTTTCTAACTGGTATTGCTAGGACATGGTTTCGTATTGTTCGTTCAAATCTTAATTCTTGGTATTATTAAGGTTGCCTTACTTAAACATTTTGACAAACCTGATTATGATGATCGGCTTGAATATCTTTTGCGTTCTCGTAAACAAAAACCTACTGAAACTTTGTCAGATTTTATCATCGAGTTGCAGGATATGTCTTTGCGTCTTTCGGATCCACTTTCGGAAGAAACCTTAATTAAAATTATTAGGCGTAATATGTTGCGTTCTTACGCCGTATATTTTGTTGGAACATTAGTTCTATTGACCAAATTTTGAGATTAGATAAAGAAATTAAAGAACTTGTTTCGGATAGCTCTTCTGTTCAATGTGTTTCGCGTGCATCTTCTCCTAAAGTTCATTTTGTAGATTCTAAAAACGATAAAAAATTATAATTTTTATTATTTTTAAAGCATGTAACTGCTTGATTTTCTTTAGATAAAAAATTAATTTGTTTAAAATGTAAAAATTTTGGACACACTTACAAAAAATGTTTAAGTATTCCTGGTCCAATTTGTTTCAATTGTTGTAGGCATGGAGTGACTATTCACACATGTGACTGCAAAAATAAAAAAGTAGATACCAGTGAACCTTTAGCAACCAAAATTAAACTTTCTGAACCGGTTCCAAAAAACTGATTAGGCCTCATCGAGCTCCACTTCATGATGAAGCGAGAAGAGTCTCGATGGAAAATAGTCATGTTCCTGATAAATCAACTTGTAGAAAAGAATTTAATGATTGGCTAGATTATTTAAAAGTATTTTTTAGAAATATTAAAGTAGCTCCAGTGCTTTTTGTTAAAAATAGAGATAATAGACCTTACCTTAAATTTAATGTTGGAAATAGTACTTTTACTGGAATTTTGGATAGTGGTGCCAACTGTTGCGTATTAGGTGCTAACAGTCACTTACAATTTTTAGAATTAGGATATAAAATTAAAACAATTTATAGAACCGCTCAGACTGTTGACGGATCT